GCGTACAAACTTCTTAAGAAGGTTGTTTCCCACACATTTGAACGCCTTTTGTAAGAAAAACATTACAAAAAGTCCTTAGCAGCAGTAAACGTAATCCTCAATTTTTTTTTTCGAAGTTTTGGTTGTTGAAGGTAAAATAACGTCTGGTAATTATAGTGGAATTTTACAGAGTTATTGTGGATATATGGAGCTGTAAAAGCTACGCTCAACATGCATGGTCATTGTGATCCTCCTAGAAAATTCGTACCGAAATTTTGAAGCCACCCTTAGATCTTATTTACGATGATTAGTTGCTGAGATATCGATGACCAAGGCCACAAGGGTCACTTTTCGTTAAAAATTCTATATATCAGCAAGGAATGAAAAAACAAATGGATCCTTGTGAATATTCGAGGACATAAATAAAATGGTAAGAGAACTTGAATTTTTTCTCCATACTACTTCCCAGAATCGTGTGGAACCTGCAGTCTTAGAAATTTCTTGACCAGAAGATTCAGAAACTAAACATTTTTTGACTTAAAATGCTCCTCTTAGAACCTCAATATGACCATTTTATTAAGATTATTTTTTTCCATTATTGTATTTTATATTTGTCTTCCAGCTGACAGGTCATTTGTTTTTTCTCTTCTTCGCTACTATGCAGTGAGTTGTGACAACAGCCTGAATGGTCCTATACTGAGATCAAGCGAACCCATCATTGCACTTTTAAAACCACACCGCGTGAAACCAGCAAAGCCCAGAACGGCCTGGGCCAAAAGCGAGCATGAGGTAATCTATTGTTTCTATTGCACCAGACATGTCACCCTCGCTCATCGTCCCGAAAACGCCAAACGTACTCCGTGAACGTAAACATCTAGAGCGTACCGGTTTACTGTTACGTAATCTTCGGCTACTAGTGTTAGAAGTGAACATCATAAATTGAACAGTGAAATAATGTAAATGCTATTTCTGTTAGTGAAAGCATCATCAGCATTATTATATGAATATTGCTGAAAGTTAGTGAATTCAGATTCATTAGTCTTTTTGAGTAGCCATAGAATATTTCTGATATATACAGCTTGACCATCAGATAAAATTGTATTGAGAACGTCTGAAAAGAGTTTGCGACGTTTTCGAAATATTGGATCATTTCAAGTTATGGAATATTTTTTTAACTTTAACTTAAACTCAACTGGATACATTTTTTAAGCTGCTAATTCCAACACTGAACCTAACTAACTCATCTGCTTCAAAAATTAAAAACTCATTTCCTGTTACTAATGAAAATGGAGTAGAATCAATCAACCCAATCTAGTGACTAGACTGCCTTGCTAGTGGATATGTATTATATTTACGAGTATATTATAATTAACGCTTGATAGATGCATTGTAGATTTCAACTCCACAGTGTTCCTGCTGGGAAACCTGAAGCAAGCCTCGTGAGATATGTAAGTTAATGCACAGAATGAAGCTAGCTTCATTATCAAGACCATGTACCATTTAAACTAAAACTGAAATAAATGCTCGTCTAGGCTGCATGAGCTCTCTATAAATTTCATGTTCTGTCTCTGCGCGACCATTCCTACGGATTTCTTGTCAGTTGCAAGTCCGTATGGATATAATGCAAGAAAACAGATGAGTACAATTTCAATGCTAATACTAATATCACATCATGTACTAGGTTGTCAACAACTTGGTTGTACAGGACCGTGTTAGGATGAAAATCTTACACTCTACGTTTTTGAAATTTTATTCTATTGTGGTTGGTAGTAGTAGTAGCCTTGATCCTTTTTGACTTTTTGCCGACCTCGTACTACCATTGTGGTTGGTGAGCCAGCTTTTTAGGGTGATAGATTTATATAAATATGCCAGGATCATCCTATTGTGATTGATTTTATACATTGTTCGTTTGGATCCTTTTGAATTAATGTTAATACTAATATCACACTTTCTACGAGGTTGTCAAAAAGACGGTTGCACAGGGTCATGTTAGGACATAGATGAAAATGTTATACTCTTTAGGACATGGGATGGTTGTTTCTGTTTCGGCTGTTCATTATGTTTTTGAAATCTTATTGTATTGTCGTTGGTATGTCAGCTTCTTACGATGGTTTGTTAGGGACAAATGCTCTGGGGCGGATTAAAAGCTGCACTCAGGTACTTAAGGATTTATTAATTCTGGTTACAAAGTGGAATGTGTGAACATTGTAAATACATAATTGAACCATCTCTTACCTTCTAAAATAATTTTCCACATTTCGACAATTTTATTATCGCTTTCGACATGAGATTTGGTAAAGAAAATATATTATTACGTTCATCCCAGCGTGTCAATGGTTAACGACTACGGATTCAAGACTTGGAATGCTACAAATCTTAACACGTAAAACAGGTGTCGTTTAGTAGTAGTCTAGTGTTATAACACTGGCAATTACCACAGTAAATATCAGGACAATGGTTGAAATACCATATCTTATGGATACAGTCTTTTTTAGATGGAATCCAAGTTGTGTTCGACAGAAACTAGCTTTTTAACCGAAACTGAAATTTTAGGCTCAGCTTTCGCTTCGGCCAGAATCAAAACCTAATCAAGTGATCGAGGAATATGGCCATCTTATAGTAATTATTTGATAAACTAATAATGTAGATTTTCTAACAACCGTCTACTATTTGATATGGGAAGCTAATGAGAAATGTTTCTCCAAGAAAAACATATTTTATAGGAATCAGTACTTCATTAATTTCAGTAATCGCAAAGCTCCGATCAAATTCAGAACGTCATAATTTCTTTGATCTTAATTCGAGGCTTCATTCCAGTTCAACCGTATTGCAGAGACTAGATCAACTAGACATGAATCTTATATACAGCGACGAGATGAAAAAAAAATTGATGTTCCAATGAAAGGCAAAAGATTACTATGCTTTGTAAACAATTGAAGATAAAAACATGGTGGGAGAAAAAAGTAAATTGTTATTAAAAAGTTTGACTCTATGACTCTAGTCTCATCATGGAGGACATTGCGTTCTGATTAGCTGATAAGGTTATCCCAAAGAGTGTCTCAAAGTTAGGGTGATGAAATATCATTCTGACTTAACGTATATAACAAGGAAAAAAGCAACTACTAACAAGAAACTGAACATCCATGCTGAAGTTGATGGGTGTACAGTATATCTAATATAAATAAATTGTAACATCGAAAAAATCCGAACCCACAAAGAAAGCATGACAACCTATAATAGATTAATAATAATGGTAGTAATTAACGTCCTTTTTATTTGCCGTAACATTACATGAGGCGAGATTTAAACACAATATCTATTCCTGAACCTAACCCGCTTGACAGTACCGGATGTATAAATACTGAAAATTTCTTAAAAATCAATACCTGTATATACAATAACAACCATAATAAAGCACAGTTAATGTAAAGACATAAAGAAAACATGAAGTCAGTAAACACTCATTGGTTACAAAGAATTTTGCTGCTGGTCAAGTAGAATTTCTTCTATTTCTTTCTTGAATTTGTGTAATGAATTAGTTTCTTTTAAACAACAATCTAAGGAATCTTATAATTTGATCGCATTGTAAATATATGTGTTCTAAAATAGAGATGTGCTGTGGCGTGAGATTGAGACGACCTAACTAACATTAATGCCATGCGTAAATGGTACAGTAGAGCATAAGGACTGCCGACCAGTGGACCAACTGTTCCGCGGCAATGACTCACAGTTGAAAGCACGCTTCTGCTTTCCACTTATCTGCATATTATTTTCCACCAAAAATTTCATGTGGCAATTATTTTGCACCTGACTGTACTTAGCAATACAATACAAAAAATACAAACCAGAAAAGTATGAAAGCATTCAGGTATGTGTCAAAATAAGCAAGGAGAAATGCAAAGGTATAGACAAACAATAAAGCTCTTGCGTATTTTTAGTAAAGTGCTGCAGTGTATTATTTTAACAAAAGCACCAAATGTATAATTCAGTTATGACATATATTTTTTTTACATTATAACTCGTGAATTCTAAAGAGGACGAGCGTAGTTTTGGTTTCGGTTGCACTTTCGGCAAGATGTAGCCAAAACCGAAACTAAGCAGAAAAGAGGTTTTTGAAACAAAATTGATCAGAACCCTCGAGTTCGGTCGGATACTATCTGAAAGCTCATCCCTTGTTATAGTTTTCTATGTAATGTCATCATCAGGGCGCTGGAGATATTTCATGATCCCTCAGTGTGAGTCCGCTCCTGAGCCAAAGACTGAGTTTTCCCACAAGTAAAATTATAATATCCAGATCGCTAAATAATAACTATCATGATAAATTAATGCAATAACGTTGAACAGTTAGGCGCTGGAACGTCGATCCGACTATTTCAGGTTTTAGCAAAAATTCCGACACTTTACTGTTAGTGTGAGTTATCAAGATCACCGTTTCAATTAACATAATCGAGCGGACCAGTGCGTTTGAGAATTTATCGGACAAATGATAAAATGAACACCGGAAGCCTGCGCACTTGTTTGACAATCTAAATATTTCCATATGTAGCAGTACATTTTGCTATTCCAGGGACACCATATTGATTGATGATGAATATTGATTGCTTGACGGACATATCAATTATATAAAACCTATCAAAGCTTTGAAGATATGATCGGTATCCTGATATGTTCATTTGTCATATCTTACTGTTAGTAATGGAGCTGGTGGTAGCAAGTATCTTGCAATAAACTACCACTCACACCTAGTGTGATGTGATTGTGATTCGTAGGTTTCGGATGTGGCAACATAGGGTAAATATAAAACCTATTGAAATTCACTGTTATCCCTAACTTAGGCATACATCTAATATGACCATGTAAGAAAGTGGATGCGAGTAGAATTAACTTCACAATTATATTCATAACGCTTTTTAAAATTGTAGCTGTCGTCATTAAAGCAACATGAGCAATGTTGCTTGTTAAAGGTCTTGTTTTTTGAGTATGCACTAAAATTTTGAAAACGGATTATACTACCATTTAACCTGCCTGTATTTGTTTTTTGTGTTTGTAACGTTTCCTCTTGCAGACCACTGAAATAAATAATATTATTGTTATCATTATTACTGTATGGCTCCTATTCAAGGGAGTATGTCAGCAAGCAGATCGATCGACTAACTTTCTTTATCTCTTTATCTCAAAGCTCCACAAAATATGTTGTCCCAAGTTCGGAAATCTCACAGCAAACGTAATGTCCAAAGTGTTGTCACAAATCCGAAAGTGAATGAATGACCTATTTCAAAATTACTGTTGTTGGTTTATCGAGTTAGTCCTCAACGCATGCATAAAATGGGAAAGCTTATAGCTAAGCATTATTGAAGTATACTGACAACTGCTCACAATAGAGAGTAGGTGTGGTGTTTTCGCCTTTGATTCCATTTTCAAGGATCTGATATAGAACGGACAATATGAAAAATTTAAAAGACCTTATTTTGAGAAAATGAAAACTAGCAATTTACAAAGCACAACGACGAAGTACAAACATTTTTGTATGCCGATAAAATCCAAACGTCATATGGAAGAAATTCGAATATATTGATTTTGTCGATCCGAATGAGATGAATACACATTTTTTAATACTATCATCAAGAGATATTGACATAGCCGCATCAGGTATTTCTGTCTCAGAGCCTGTCCTGTGTGGGGTACCACAGAGCTCCGTTTTGGACCCATCACTGTTTTTGGCACACTGATTTTAAGATAGCAATTGCTTTATTGAATGGAATTTGTAGCTTCATGAAAAATATCGATCGCTGATAATATTATTCCTCGCACATCTGCTACAAGGCATTTAGGTTTAGTAATAGATAATGATTTCAGATTTACAAAGCATGTTGATAAGTAATTAGTCTAGCTTATGGTCACTTTAAGATACTATTTCCATTCCTTCATATTTTTTCCGTTGATCCCAAAACTTTGTAAAACATTCGCTTCATCTTTGTTCCATTACTGTAATGAAATTTATGACTCTTGTTAAACAAAAAATGATATAGCGCAAAACAGCAAACTGCGAATGTGTGATAAAAACTTGAAGCTATTTCCTATAAGCTATCTGGAGCGCGATGACTATTGATATGCAAACAAGAAGCAATCTAAAGTCTGCCGTAATATTCCATATAATTGTATAAAACTTACAATTGGACAGCTATTATACTAAGTGACATATAAATTCGAACACCCAGTTTAAATGGTTTTATTTTAATAAAATTTTGTATAAGTACTTAATGAAGCATAATAAGTAAATGATAAAAATTTCAAAATGATTGCACTGCTTTAAAGCCCTTTGACCTTTAATAATGTGTGGATGCACCCTGACTAAGCATTCTCCAACGCGCCTAGGCATGCTTCTGATCATCATATCCCACACGTGCTCAATTGGGGATAATTCGGGAGATCTTGGTGGCCATGGTAACAATGTGACATCATTATGTTGAAAGAAGTCTATTGTGACTCTTGCAACATGTGGTCGGGCATTATCTTGTTGGAAAGTTGGATCTGCCAGGGTGTCAAGATAGGGTAAAAGATGGGTTTCTAGTACTTCGTGGATATAACGCTGCGCGTTCATGTTACCTCTGATGAAGATTAAAGGTGACCTGGAACCATAAGCTATAGCACCCCAAACCATATCTCCAACAGTGTGATGAACATGTCTTTCAACAAAAAACTGTGGATTCCTCCTTTCACCACGTCGCCTTCTAACTAAAATCGAGACTCGTCACTAAAGACAATACTGTTCCATTCCTGATCCCAGAGTGACCGTTGTCTGCACCACTCAAGGCGATTACGTCGGTGTTCTCGAGTTAAAGGGAGTACCCAGTGTGGCCGGTATGAAAACAAGCCAAAACTTCTCATTCGTCGGTAAACACTTCGCATGCCAATAGGTCTTCCGTGTTCTGCAAACCATTCATTTGCAATGGACCTGGTAGTGGAGAAACAGTCCCTTAAGGCCAATAATCTTAGGCGGCGATCTTCACGGTCTGTTATTCTACGGCGGCGTCCAGTGCCCATTGCTCTTTGCGTACGACCTTCTCGAAGCCATGCCTGACAACACCTAACCACAGTGTCTACACTTCTTTGCACTCTAACTGCAATTGCCCGAAAAGAAAGTCCAGCTTCCCGAAGTCCCACTATACGGCCCCTATCAAGCTCACTAAAAGTTGACGAAATCGTACAGGCATCGTAACCGATCGTAAAGAATGTCAAGAACCAAAATCCGCCAACGTTGATTCTTTACTGCGGCTGAAATATTCATTTTTAGAGCGTTAGTGAATTAAAAAAAAGCAGTATAAAAACCGGAATGTCCAACTGATAAGGCTGAAAAAAAAAATAAATAATTTACCAACTTTTATTAAAATAAAACCATTTAAACTGGGTGTTCGGATTTATATGTCACTTAGTATATTTTGGTTATATTTATAATTATCTCTCTGTTCCATTTTGCTCATGGGCTAGTACTTTAATCGGTCCCTCACTATCTGCTAGTATACTTCACAGAATTTCGGATTTTGTTATTCAACGTACAATGTTTAACTGCACATGAACGCCTTCTTATATGGAGTATTTTCAATTCTGCTAAACGATCAGATTTTATTTATTGTCACGTTTTGACTTTTTGAAGTATCGTGTTTTCTGTGTCGTCGCATGTGATATTTGTCCATTACCTCGAATGTCTTTTAGGTAACCAACAAAACTGGCGACACTAGAGCTGGTCGGCTTTAAAAAGAAACTGTTCATTCGTTTTTATTGATTCAAATCATTGTTAACTGTAACAAAACACTGATGTAGTCCTTCCCTTGGATGCGTTTAATGGCTCCTTGATCAGCATCATAACAAGTCAGGAAAAAGTTCGAATGCAAGGCTGAGGTGACCATTTTTTGGTAGGGTAGATCCGAAAAAATATAGTTTACTCACATCATCCTCATATCCTTTATGATGTACCCGACCATATCCTTTCACTTGAGCACATCACTAACAAGTTATCAGATGCGACAAAAAGTGAAGTCCTAGCGGATAAAATTAATTTTACCGTTACAAAAAGCTGCAACGTCTAATTAACGATATGTCATAGTTTTTCCTATCAGCCTGTTGGTAGAGTTGGTGAAACGGCTTTGCCGTTAAAATTGTAACTCATGTCCGATTTTATCTGCCGTCTTTCGATGTTAAGTTATTACGTTAGAAGTAACTGATTAGACTGGCTTAATTAACACCTTATCCTTCGTCCTTATACGTCGCGAATATCCAGATTACGTAATTGAATTTGTATACGGGGGACCATCAAGGGTAACGAACTGGCCCTAGCCTATTAGCAGACAGGTCAAAGAACCCGTCGGACTGGATTTACAGCCACGTTAAACTCGTTCCAAAAAATCGGAGATATATATAGGAACTAGAAGTTCATATTCTTTTCTTTTGACTACAAGGTACTCATGGCAGCTGATGAATTATCCTCCCTATCCCACAATTCCAACGCGAGCGTTCTTTGAGGTTCCGTTTTGAACGTAACGTTTTTTCTGTTTCACATCCTGTAGGACAAATCCGGAATATAGGAACGTAAAAAATTCAGGTATAGTTGTTGTCACCATTCTTAGCGGTTACGTCATCCACGCCATACGAAATAAGTAAACAGATCGAGTCTCAGTACCATGGGCGGATCTTGATCGCAGCGGTCGTGATATGTTGTGCTTTACTTTCTTATATTGTAGAACGTACTCCTGTTTTGACGGCATCACTTACATTATCGGTCTTGCTTTTTTTGATTTTGTGTGTTACCCCAGGTGTTACTATGGGCAAACCTTTCTTATTTTCTGATTTAATTTGCTGAACACCGCGCAGACTAATCTTCAGCGCATCTGCTACTCCCTCCAATACGCATGAAATTGGTAACAGGGGACCGCAGTTTTCATTCTCTTCTCGGAAATACTCTAATAAATTTAGCACGAGCTGTAGACCTTTCCATTGATCATATTTCCGGGCATTGTACAATTTTATATTGAAGATTGATAACAGAACAACTCAAATTGCACGGCGATGTCAATTAAGTTGTCACTGACAAATATGATTGAAGTAACGACAAAGTTTTCGAGACAGAGACACACAACTAAAAAACAAATGTCTTTGAGCTTACCGAACAAACGTTCACACACAGGGGTATGTTGCATGTGTACGTATAAGGGAGATGGAGATATATGAATGGATACTGGTAGTCTTACTTTGTCCCGCCAAGATCGGTGACTAGAACTATATTAGCACTTTGTCGAAGACTGGTTGCCACTCACTTTCCGACGGCAGACTTGAAGGTTGTCATTGCTTGGGGATACAGCATTTTCATTATGCTTGATCCATGATTGAGCACGAACACGATTCGTCAAACTCATCAGCTACTTTGAGACATTCGAATTTCTCCAGATCCCAGCCTGCAGTAACAGCTCTTTGCACACATTGGAAATGTAACTACTCCTGATGTACTGTGCAGGCACGGTACGGCTCAGAGAAAGCATATACGATTAGGCATTGACGCTTCCGTGAGCATAGATTTTGAACCTTTCTCTCTATGACCGAAAGTTGGTGATCTGTCACAGTTCTACCGATCTACAGAGCCTCATAGCTTTTCTCAACTATCTCGCCAAGTTTTAGGCTTGCCAGATGCAAACACCAATCTTCTTATACTCCGTATTTTATCACAATCAGTCTTTGTTTTAAGATATACTTAACTCAGGCCCTGCCTTTGTGACTGCTTTATATGTTAGCTACATTTCAACCATTGAAATTAGTTTTGATATCGCCTTGCCGTCTCATATAATGATTCGCTATGACAATTTTTATACCTAATTGATGTATGGATCGCAGTTCTTATGTCAGTGTCGGAAATATTATAGCGTATGTCCATACCAAAATCAACCTTGAGTTTGGAGATTCGGTAGGAACTTGGCTCCAAAGTATCTACAAATCCAAAGAAATACATAGACGCGTGTTCCTTTGCGAGGGAAAATTCAGTTCTACTAATCTTAGGAAGTTTAAAAATCGGATTAACGAT